GGTTTAGATGTCTTTAGGCCAATGTTTATATTATAGCCCAGCTCCTGTAGTTCCGTGTCGGGCCTGCTGCACAAATCTCTAAGCTTTCTCAAGCGTTTTTATGAGGCTAATAAGGCGGAGTCTTCATGGTGGAGCGCGCTGGTAAATTATTCACTCTTAAGTCTGCGCGATAACAAGATAATATTTTCTTTTTGGGTCTCGTCCTATCATGATATTATATCGCATATGGAGGAGAATAGATCTCTATCCCTGTCCATAGAGGGAAGTAGAACATATATATATATATATATATATATATATATATATATATATATATATATATATATATATATATATATATATATATATATATATATATATATATATAACCATCTTTGATGATAATATGTTATTTGATGATAACCATTTTTGTAACCCATATGTAACTCCTTTTTTGTAACAAAGTTCAAATAAAGTAAATATATATGTGTACATACAAAAGAATGGGGGTGGTAGGAGATAATATTAGTGTTCAGTGAGAAACCACAAGGTCTCCTCTGAATACTTTTTATTTTCTTCTCCGAGGCTATGGGTCCCCACATTGGCACCAGAGGTGGTACCCTCACAAACTTTTTATATATGTATATATATATATATATATATATATATATATATATATATATATATATATATATATATATATATATATATATATTTCTCTGTGGATTTTCCGCATAAAATGATCAGTGTTTTGTGATCGTCAATTGCATATATATATATATATATATATATATATATATATATATATATATATATATATATATATATATATATATATATATATATATATATATATCTTCTCTGTTTTTTTTTTAAGTTTTTCTTTATTTGAGAAGTTTAAAAATGAGGTCTCCAAAGTTCATTTTTACGATTTTATTTGGCCTAGCGCTAAAAGATGCGATTCGTTAACTCTTGCTAACATTATCGAAGGCAGAGTTCGAATGTACCTACATGAGGTTCTGGGAGTTCTACTCCCCAAGCCCGGCACAGGGCCAGGCTTGACTTGTGATAGCTTGGTCCAACAGGCTGTTGCTTGGAGCCGCCCGCATATCAACTACAACCCGGTGTCCGGCACTTCTTGAAGAAAACTATCTAGTTTTCTCTTGGATGTGTTCACCTTCAAAGAACAGGCTGGCACCTTGTTCGCCTGTAGTCAAAGCCTGGTCTCATGCCGGGCTTGGGGAGTAGAAGAACTCCCAGAACCCCATCAAGCAGTTGTTGCTTTGGATTTAGCTACTCAGAACGAAATGTCCATGTAGCACGGGCTATGGTGAGCCCGTAATCCCATCAAGCAGGTATGGTTACAAGGTGATTGTGTCGGTGTCACGATATCTCTGGTGATGATCCGGTTATGTGTAGTGTTCCCTCATAGAGCCTTGCTGTTTGTGCATTGTCAGCCGCCTGGAAACGGATGTTGTCGTCTTGCCTAAATATTGAGGGTTGTCACATTCAATAATGTAGGTCTACAAGGCTACCAAAATATACTAATAGTAGGCATCCATCAGTCTCAGGAGACTATGGAGTTGCGCTCTGGTTGTCGGTCTGGAGTGGCCTCACCAGGGCGCAAAGCCCGGGTAGGTTGATCCGGGAGAGAAGCTGTTACCCAGGCAGCAGGTCCCCCTCTCCACGGCGCTGAAAGTCTCCAATGGAAAGGCATACGCCAATACGATTAGTTCCAATCGTATTGGAACCATATACTAATATATATGTAATAACACAATACTCAAGGTTGACAGAAAGACTAAAAAGAACATGGACACTGGGGTGACAAATGAGTGACGTGGGCCGGGCTCCCGTGTCAACGACAAGCACAGTATCGCTGCTCAATTACACTCCCGCCCGATAAACATGGCATTAATGTTAGCGACCTGGATAAACCCACGGTAATATTAATGTCCGCGAATGGCATCAGTGGAACCCGAGGCAACCAACTTTCACCACAGAGTACTAGTGTCACACGGTCAAGAGTCAAGAATTTCTCACCTTGTCGTTACCGTGAGAGGGGTGAGAGAGAGTGAGCGAGAGAGAGAGAAAGTGTGAGCGAGAGTGAAAGTGTGTGTGTGTGTGTGTGTGTGTGTGTGTGTGTGTGTGTGTGTGTGTGTGTGTGTGTGTGTACTCACCTAGTTGTGCTTGCGGGGGTTGAGCTCTGGCTCTTTGGTCCCGCCTCTCAACTGTCAATCAACAGGTGTACAGATTCCTGAGCCTACTGGGCTCTATCACATCTACACTTGAAACTGTGTATGGAGTCAGCCTCCACCACATCACTTCCTAATGCATTCCACCTGTTAACTACTCTGACACTGAAACAGTTCTTTCTAATATCTCTGTGGCTCATTTGGGCACTCAGTTTCCACCTGTGTCCCCTAGTGTGTGCGTGTGCCCCTTGTGTTAAATAAACTGTCTTTGTCTACCCTATCAATTCCTTTGAGAATCTTGTATGTGGTGATCATGTTTCCCCTAACAATTCTGTCTTCCAGCGACGTGAGGTTTAATTCCCGTAGTCTCTCCTCGTAGCTCTTACCTCTCACTTAACATCACCGGTACCCCCCCCACTTAACATCACCGGTACCTTCCCCACTTAACATCACCGGTACCGCCCTCACTTAACATCACCGGTACCCCCCCACTTAACATCACCGGTACCTTCCCCACTTAACATCACCGGTACCGCCCTCACTTAACATCACCGGTACCCCCCCACTTAACATCACCGGTACCTTCCCCACTTAACATCACCGGTACCGCCCTCACTTAACATCACCGGTACCCCCCCACTTAACATCACCAGTACCTCCCCCACTTAACATCACCGGTACCGCCCTCACTTAACATCACCGGTACCTCCCGCACTTAACATCACCAGTACCTCCCCCACTTAACATCACCGGTCCTCCCCCCACTTAACATCACCGGTACCTCCCCCACTTAACATCACCGGTACCTCCCCCACTTAACATCACCAGTACCTCCCCCACTTAACATCACCGGTACCGCCCTCACTTAACATCACCGGTCCCCCTCCCCCACTTAACACCACCGGTACCTCCCGCACTTAACATCACCGGTACCTCCCCCACTTAACATTACCGGTACCTCCCGCACTTAACATCACCAGTACCACACCCACTTAACATCACCGGTACCTCCTACACTTAACATCACCGGTACCTCCTACACTTAACATCACCGGTACCGCCCCGGTACCCTCAAGACAGCCAGAGGAGTGGCTACCAAACTTGCCATATAACTTGTGTGCGAGAAATATACGACAAAGTTTTCCCTCAGACAACTTCAAGCATTGCTCATCCTCCAGTCACGACTTCTGGAGGCACCTGCCACCTCCACCTCCTCCTCCAGTGAAGGCTTCCTCCCCCTCCAGCCCTTCCTACTCCTCGACGCCCTCCTAGGCTTCCTACCCCTTCTACTCCAACACCCCCCTTCCTCCTCCTCCCACACCAAACCTCTTTTCCTCCACCAACAGTATAGTTTATTCCCCATAAAAGACGAGGGACATGATCCAAGTTTATTCCCAGGCAGCAAAGAAGTTTCCTCCCACTCTTTATTCTTGTTTCTGTCCCGTGAAGCCCCGCGAGGCATCCCTCAAGGGAGCAGCTTGCTACCGGTTAGAAGCACCAGCCGGAAAAGCAATAATGAATCCTCCTCAGTTTTCATTCATTCCATTACGAGGGAAGCGGACGGAGTCACGTTTTTTCAACGTACTTGACGTATATACATGCTTTATGTATATATGTATACAAATACATTATATATTCATATATACCATTATAATCTGATAGTACTTATAGCAACTATTTGGCCCAATGTACAAAAATGTACTGTATACTGTACAAATTATACATCGGGATCGTCTGAGTGTTTCAAGCTAAGGTTAGGCCGGTGTGATCAAATAATTTGCCCGAACCTAACCTATCCGAGGACCCACAAAAAGAAAACGGAACATCACGTCAATTTTTGCGAGCCGCTATGATTCTCTGACCTATGTTCAGTTTTTGGCCTTTAGGGAGATTTATACGTCAAAAAGGCGACGTACTATTCGAGAGGATGGGCCGGCCGGATAGTCTGCGAGCCAGCGGGCCGGCCGGATAGTCAGCCAACCAGCGGGCCGGCCGGATAGTCTGCCAGCCAGCGGGCCGGCCGGATAGTCTGCCAGCCAGCGGGCCGGCCGGATAGTCTGCCAGCCAGCGGGCCGGCCGGATAGTCTGCCAGCCAGCCATCACCACCATTACCGCTCCAGACACGGCCGCCTCCGGGAACGAACGAGGGGGTTTAATAAACAATTATGACGAATACAAACGTCGCTCTGTAGTGGAAACTGGCTTGAGTGAAAAGGACGGTGTGTGGAAGCGTGGAAACGTCGCTGTCGGGGGCGTGGAAACACCGCTGTGGGCAGTGGAAACACCGCTGTGGGCAGTGGAAACACCGCTGTGAGCAGTGGAAACACCGCTGTGGGCAGTGGAAACACCGCTGTGGGCAGTGGAAACACCGCTGTGGGCAGTGGAAACACCGCTGTGGGCAGTGGAAACACCGCTGTGGGCAGTGGAAACACCGCTGTGGGCAGTGGAAACACCGCTGTGAGCAGTGGAAACACCGCTGTGGACAGTGGAAACACCGCTGTAAGCAGTGGCAACACCGCTGTGAGCAGTGGCAACACCGCTGTGAGCAGTGGCAACACCGCTGTGAGCAGTGGAAACACCGCTGTGAGCAGTGGAAACACCGCTGTGAGCAGTGGAAACACCGCTGTGAGCAGTGGAAACACCTCTGTGAGCAGTGGAAACACCGCTGTGGGCAGTGGAAACACAGCTGTGGGCAGTGGAAACACCGCTGTGGGCAGTGGAAACACCGCTGTGGGCAGTGGAAACACCGCTGTGGGCAGTGGAAACACCGCTGTGGGCAGTGGAAACGATAAACGTACAGCAAGAAAGAAAACAAAAGTCTTCTAGAAGACGTCAATATTTAACATCAGAACATTTTAAAAAAACAGCTTCGTAAATGCTTGAAAATGTTCCATTCACGTCGCTGCGGTGGAAGGCGGAGGCTGCAAAGTCAGCAGTTTATCGTATCTATTTAACCTTCGTGTACACAGCACCTCCGCTAGCCCGCTCCTTCGCGCAGAAGTGATCGTAGCGAGACGATTGCTTTAAGGCTGCGCTCCCTCCGATCCGCTCCCATCCAATTTCTTACGTCAGTAAATAGATGGAAAAATTCCGAGTACTATCTATCGTTTAGTGCTATTTGCAGTCCACACACTCAAACTGTATATGTAAATAGCGCTATATCTGGAAATCATTTTGAGGCAATGGAGTGATTTGAACCCGCGACCTGGTGATTCCCAGACGTCTTCCTTAATCACCAAGGTCGTGAGTTCAAGTCACTCCAATGCCTCAAATGATTTTCATTGATATATCTGGTCATTGTGATTTCATTGGGAGATGTTTCTCTCTCTCTCTCTCTCTCTCTCTCTCTCTCTCTCTCTCTCTCTCTCTCTCTCTCTCTCTCTCTCTCTCTCTCTCTCTCTCTCTCTCTCTCTCTCTCTCTCTATATATATATATATATATATATATATATATATATATATATATATATATATATATATATAATATGACTGTCAGACCATATATATATGTATAATCTTTCTGAAGATGTATTAATATACGAAAGTACTTAAGGAAATTAAATTAAGGAAATGAGTGTTAATTTTCGTGATTTACACACACACACACACATATATATATATATAATATGCAGAAATCCCCAATTTGAAGAAATATAGAATGCTTAACGCGTTTTCGGCTCGGCAGGTCACATGGCCACCAAGATTTGTGGCTGAAACCATACTTTTAAGGAGAAAGGGGGAAAGAAAAAAGAAGGAAGGATTAAATAGAGAACAAATGTTCTTCCTCTCTTCAAAAACACTGGAGAACAACGTTTCAACCGGCTAAATGGATGCTACATAGTACTGACCGGCTATATTGAAACATATATGAGGGGTCTAATTTGTACATGTCAGGGCTAACATTAAGGCTGTTGTTACATTGTTAAAAAGTAAGGGCTTTCGTTGAACGAAATTTTGATTGAGTCAGCCCTGATCAAACAATGTAGCAACAGCCTTAATGTTAGCCCCTGACATGTACAAATTAGTCCCCCATATAGGTTTCAATATAGCATGTCAAAACAATGAATCATCCATCCATTTAATTAATGAATTTAATGGGTACAACTGTGTTACTGTCTGTACAATACATGACAATTTCAGTTCCTAAGCCTCCTGTAGTTGTTGCTCGGGGGGGGGGGGGGCGGTGAGTTGTTGCTGGGGGGGGGTGTAGTTGTTGCTCGGGGGAGGGGGGAGGGGGGAGGGTGTAGTTGTTGCTCGGGGAGGGGGGAGGGGGGGGGTGTTTACAGTACACCTGAGTACTCCAGTACACTCTACTGAATTTCTCATTGATGTTAATGTCCTTGTTAATGTAATTTTCTCATCACGTTAATGTGATTTCTTTATACATTTCGAGAGAAACATTGAGGGTGGAAGCTCCTAGACCACAGCCAGAGTGCATGCGAGCAGTGTGGGAAACCCTGAGTGGGTTTCAAAGGAAGTTCTCAGGGGCTCCTAGAGGATTCAGTTGAATTCCAGATTACATTTATTTTACCATATTTTGGTTCAGTGGTTTAAGGCGTGTGCTTGGACGTACCCAATGTTCGATTCTGCCTCATGGCTTCTACTGACTTTAGTGAGACTGATATTATGATCAATGAAGTCAAGATCCAGTTCCTCTACGTCTACTACTCTCTACTACCACTGTTGCTGCTGCTACTAATAATACTACTCCCTACTGCTACTATGACTACTACTGCGCAATCAAACGCTGTGCAATAACTCGCATATATGACACAAACCAAGTTTTAAAAACCCCAACTATTTAATCTCAACATAAATTAGTGCACGTATTCGTCTGTATCTCCATTCCCCCTTTTTCCTTTAGAATGTCGGGCCCCAGAAAATAGTTGGCTCTGAAAAATGCTTCCCCCGACTCGAGTATTTTTCTTCAGTGGTCGCTGAACAAGAAGAGACGTGCCTTGCTGCTGCAAGTTAAGCCTTCCGTCACTTCCCTCCTCAAGACGGACATTACGACGGTCTTCCTCCACCTGCGGCCTCTCTCTCTCTCTCTCTCTCTCTCTCGCTCTCTCTCTCTCTCTCTCTCTCTCTCTCTCTCTCTCTCTCTCTCTCTCTCTCTCTCTCTCTCTTTGTCTTCTCTCTCTCTCTCTGTCTCTCTCTCTCTCCTCTGTCTCCTCTCTCTCTCCCTCTCTCTCTCTCTCTCTCTCCTTCTCTCCTCTCCTCTCTCTCTCGGCTCTCTCTCTCTCTCTCTCCTCTCTCCTCTCTCTCTTCCTCTCTCTCCTCCTCTTGCCTCTGTCCTCTCTCCGTCTTCCTGTCTCTCCTCTCCTCTCTCTCTCTCTCTCTCTCCTCTCTCTCTCTCCTCTCTCTCTCCTCTCTCTCTCTCCTCTCTCTCTCTCTCTCTCTCTCCTTCTCTCTCCTCTCTCTCTCTCCTCTCTCTCTCTCTCTCTCCTCTCTCTCTCTCTCTCTCGGTCTTCTCTCTCTCTCTCTCTCTCTCTCTCTCTCTGTCATTCTGGCTCGCCTGTCACACCTGGCTCACTGTTCCACCTGCCTCTCTGATTTCCTGTCTCACCTACCTTACTGTCCATTTGCGTTCCTGTACCTCTGTCCCACCCTGCCTCCCTTAACCTCCAGTGCTCCTTGCCCAGCTGCCTATCCCTTTTCCTTTTCGCTTCCATTGTTGTCTGACTTTCCCATTTCGCTACCTCTCCAACCCTGCTTTCCTCCTTTTGCTGTTATCTTCCACTACATAAAAATCTGATGTAGTAATAATAACAGCGTGCTCCTGGAGATTACCTGCAGAGGGTTTTTAGGAGTTATACTGGCGAGTAGAAGGGGCGGCCTGGCACCTGGCTCGACTTGTGATAACTTGATCCAACAGGCTATTGCTTCGAGCGGCCCGCAGGCCCACGTATCCACTACAATTCGGTTGGTCCGGCACTTTCCAGGAACTTGTCTAATTGTTTCTTGAAGAAGTCCACCTTCGTTTCGGCAATATTTCTTGTTTGCTGTGAGGGTATTGAGCAGCTGTGGATCTCTGATGTTCATACAGTGCTTTCTGATTGTGCCTGTGTTCATACAGTTGGCTCCGTTGTCTGCTGCTCAGGTTATCTTGAAATTATCTTGAGATGATTTCGGGGCTTTAGTGTCCCCGCGGCCCGGTCCTCGACCAGGCCTCCACCCCCAGGAAGCAGCCCGTGACAGCGGACTAACACCCAGGTACCTATTTTACTGCTAGGTAACAGGGGGCATAGGGTGAAAGAAACTCTGCCCATTGTTTCTTGCCGGCGCCTGGGATCGAACCCAGGACCACAGGATCACAAGTCAAGCGTGCTGTCCGCTCGGCCGACCGGCTCCCCCGGTCGAGCGAAATGTTTTCACCGAATCTCATTAATTCTTCTGGGAAAATATCGTATGCATAATAATAGAATATAGACCTATTTACACAGCTCATTCTTTCGATTCGCCACTCCGTACAAAACGCAACTGTTTTGCCTAACCAAAAACGTACGAATGCATGTAACCCACCTAACCTATAGACGTCGATGCTCAGAAAGCGTCAATTTTACAGTGCTTTAATATGCCAAAATACGCCACATTTTTAACGGATTGTCAATGTACCATCTGAAATAAGATCTCTCCAACTTTCACCTAACATATCTGAAGATAAAATATCATGACACTATGATGGGATTAAACTCGCGTTTCTGGGAAGTCTAGAGATCGTAATCATTTCTAATACAACATGTAATGGCTTCATTGTGCTTATAGGAAGACATACGGACATTGAACACACACATTGAAGGCAGATTGGACCCAGCCTACCTGCTGTCGGCTCCGGGGATTAACGCCCCCTCTGACCAGGCCCTCAGGCCTAACTATAATGACAACCTATTATTGCTTCTCGTTAAACTCCGGCTGTTAAATGGGGCGCTTTAGAATAATTATTTCCCATTATGCAACATTGTAAATAAATGGTTGAAATAATTTATACATCCCGTTAATGAAATGCTGGTCTCCGGCTCCGTGGAGTTGTACATGCAGCCTAATACTGCTGCGTCACACTACAGCCTCGCGTCACACTATAGCTACGCGTCACACTATAGCTACGCGTCACACTATAGCTACGCGTCACACTATAGCCATGCGTCACACTACAGCCACACATCACACTAACAGGCTATTGTGGCGACTAAATCTGTAAGAATACGAGTCGGCGTGGCAGTGTTGGAGGAAGTCATTAAGTGAGGCAGACCTGGCGATAACGTCACCTAAATCCTACACTATTACCCACCTATGCTAAACAATGACAATTTATTACATAACTATAAATTTATATTCCAGTGTTCCAAACTGTTTCAGTGTTCAAGGGAGATAGTCGTAAAGTGAGACAATTCCCTCATAGTTCAATGTTCAAAACTTGTATATGTTGATTAAATACCAGCAAATATTAATACTATTCTTATCATTTTTACGTTGTGAAAATGTATAAAAAACGTTGTACTTACCTTGAGGGGTTTACTGGGATAATATGTTCACTAATTACATTACTTTTGAACAGTTACTTTGGGTCAATATGTGTACAGTATGGAAATTACTACTTTGTCACTGATTAAATATGGTTTCCAGAAGTCAAAATTGAGCGACTCATAAAATACTAGAGAAGTCATCTTTATGACTCGTGTTGAGTCAATATAGACGATGATACGACTCGTACAAGATGCGTTGAGCAGTTACCATCCACTCAGAGTCTGGCTGTGTCACACTGCTCATTGGTCAGTCTCAGTCCGTCTGTCTCTGTCCTCTGTCCTGTGTTTATCTGGCTCTCTCTCT